TGGGTGTGGGTGTGGGGTGTGGGGTGTGGGTGTGGGGTGTGGGTGTGCGTTGAGAGAACACAGATTCCAACACCCCAAACCCACACACCCACACCCACAGCCATAGCCACAGCCACATCCTCACACCACACACCCACACCCACCAACACCAACACCCACACAGCCACAGCCACATCCTTTTTAATCAAGCTAGTCTAGTTGAGGCCTTTATGCAGACATAGTTTCAGGTCAAAATCGGAAAGTATAGCTTTACTGCCAATGTAGGCGTCCTCCGAAGAAAATTCACTAGGAGCTGGATATCTTCCCCAAAACAAGCCAGAAACCCGAACGTTTTTACCATAGACACAGTTCACTATGGACTACAAGATGCGCGAAACCCCGGATAAAAAGCGCTCGGACACCTGGAAATGTTCCCTCGTAAGCTATGAATAACATCGTTTATTCCTGCTTGATTGGCGTAGTTTTTACGTAGTTGTTGATAACAAAGGTGAATATATATAATAGTCGATGGTCTTAATTTAGCATTAGTGATGGAACCTTTATCTATTGTAGACTTGACTTAACGCTTCATTTCAACAGGTTATCCTATAATGGATAGATCTCTCGAAATATTAAACTAAAAATTTTAAATAAAATATGCTCAAATAATGTATATGTAAGGATGAAAAGAAACAACTTTAAATGCTTTTTCATTTCATAAAACAATTATTCAACGAGTATCATTACTTTTCATGGCATAGATCAGTGGTAGGTAAATAATCAATTTAAAATTAATCACGAACAGTGATATGAATCCTTTTTTAACCAAGATTTTGAAAGATGTATGACGTATTGGGGTGTGGGTATGAATTTTCATTTGGACTTTTCAGACACCCACACCCAGACCCACACGCATACCTACAACCACATCCACATCCACATCCACATCCACAGCCACCCACACACATCCAGACCCACACCCACACACAACCACACCAACACCCACACCCACCCACACCCTTACATCCACACCCAGACTCACGCCCACACCCACGCCCATACCCACATCGACGCCTAGTGTGTAGTCGAGAATGGTGAGGTTTCCTGTGGTCATCAATGGGGACCAATCACAGTAGGTATGGTGTATTGATGAATGTTCGTCATCCTGGCTTTTCCAGCGACAGGCACACCGAACCGACACGCACACGCTTTACAAAAAATAGTGTCCGTCTGCTTTGTTCGCTTTGAGTTTCTCAAAAAATGTGTTCGTCCGTGTAAAGCGTTCCTAGCTATGTTTTCAATTCTGATTTGAATTGTCATGCGCTTGATCGAATATGGCCTTAATTGGTTTAGTCACGTTACCGCCACGAAATTCTAACGTACCATATTTTTTTTCATAGGAAATTATTGCAGCGATTACTGCTTGCTGAGCGGAGTGTTTAACCGGCTTTCCTGAACTCGTATCCGATTTTATTTCTTTTAAAGCCTCATGAATGCGACGAAGTCGGGTGCATTGTTCTGCAACGGCAGTCAATGCTTGAGCTGCTTCATCTGCGCCAAGCTTCTTACATTCTTTTGCTAACTTTTCGGCTTGATCAGCCTGCAGTTTCTCTTGTTTTAATGTTTCTTCATCCAAGTATGGTTTATTTATTGAAATGCCTAGGTTCGCATTGCGCTTGTCCTCACGATTTTGTGATCATTCAATTATAATGTGGGTAGTCCGTAGCAGTACTACTGACGTAAAATATGTATTACGTTAGTCGCGAATAATCAGTTTTAATTGATCCCATAGATGTTATATTAGCCTTGCTGTTCAATACTCTTCTAAGTATTGTGAAATCATGATGGCTCATTTTTTCTTTTACTAAATGAAGTACGCAAATCTGTGGTTCTAAAGTATGATCAGCATCACGTGGACAACGTTGTGGGGATTCATGTTGAGGAATATGTTCTCTGTAATTCGAATTTTTCAGATGATTTGCGCATAAATCAGCAGAACCGGTATAATTGTTTCTCATACCTGAGGCCGTTTCCGAGTCAATATTCATTCGTTTCAGTATTGATTTAAATAGGAGCCATGGGATTTCATCTTTGTCATGGCGTAAATAACCTTGCTTATCAAACAGACCAGTTTTCATGGCTTCTTTACCAGCGGGCGTATCTATTCTCAGTTGTCCATTGGATTTGAACTCTAATTGATAGTTTAATTGCCATTGAAATGATTGCTGTTGTGCTACAAAGTTTTGGTACATCTCAGATAATTCTTTACTGCTTTTTCCTTGACCTTTATGCAAATGCTGATATAAATTCCATGGGATTTCTGGAAGTTCATTCGGCTGCTTGAGCTTTTCACTGTTCTTGGCAATGTTGTTGTTGTTGTTATCACATGTCAATGATTCCTGTTTTTTGTGACGAACAGTAGAAGCCGAATCAAAATTTCGAAGGCTTGAGTCGGAAGATTTGCGTGACGATTGACAACGAGCAGATGTCATAGTGCGCTTTGAAAAAGAAGAGGATTGTGCTGATAAACATTTCTGTTGTGGTTGTGGTTGTGGGTGTGGGTGTGGGTGTGGGTGTGGGTGTGTGGGTGTGGGTGTGTGGGTGTGTGGGTGTGTGGGTGTGGGTGTGGGTGTGGGTGTGTGGGTGTGGGTGTGGGTGTGTGGGTGTGGATGTGGGTGTGGGTGTGGGTGTGTGGGTGTGGGTGTGTGGGTGTGGGTGTGTGGGTGTGGGTGTGTGGGTGTGTGGGTATTTGTGTTCCGTTTACCCACACCCACACCCTATTTAGGGCTCAAGCTGAAGCAGACAATGAACTGGTCGACGCAAAAATAAAAGCAATAAACCTATGTCAGGTATAATTATCGTTCCTACTTACTGGTTGACTCTCATCATATCGAGACATGTGTGATTCTGACCATCCTAGATTGGTATCATGATTTTGGTGTTGGTACCACGCATTAGTAGATGATGGGCTATGCCTGGGCAATGGATCTCTTTCATTCTCATATACATCAGCATACGAATTACTGTAGGTACTATCTACATATCCATAATCGAATGACGGATTAGTACGCGCTTTGTATTCTTGGTAGTTTTGCGACATGTCTGACCGTGACCAACCGAGACCGGCATGATCATGTTGATATTGATTCCATGAGTTGGAGCATCCTCTGTTGCGACCTGATGACATTTCGTTGTCTGATAAATCGTCAGCTTTCCTAAATGGAAAAGTATATGAAATGTACCATACAACCAACTAAAGTCAATAAAAAACGTAAAGTGCTGCATAGTGACATTTATTTTTTACTAGT